TCACTTCTCGGGCGTTGGCCACGCTACTCTTTTTCCTAAATAGCAGCTTGGTTGTCAAACGCAAAGCCCACGTTTAACAACCCATGCTTCGAGACATCTAATGTATCAAGAGTTGCCAGCATTGGCAAGACGCACTTTCAACGGACGTCTAGGCCTTGCGATCTTTCGAGTGGCAGACCGCCTGCAAGTCGCGACTTGTATTGAGGGCATTGGAATGCTTGATCGATCAACGAGTGGATCATGCTGATTTCAGAGGACACCAGAAATGTAAGCTGCTCATCCCGAAGCCAAAGTTGATTATTAGGTTCGCCTCAAATTAAAATATAATCTAGTCCCCGGGTAATAACATGCATATCGAGTGAGGGTTTTCGCTTTTCATGCTCGTAGACGGGCTGGACTGAGTTTGGAGCTATTGATTTGCATTGAATTATTCATAGTACCATAATTCCGCATTTGTTGTAACAGAACCGATGGTGTTCATGACAGATCGAAACATCTGCCCTGACAGATTCCTGCTTATGTCACACGGCCGTAATCTGAGGTTACGCTGCTCATTTTCTTTGCCTATCGAGGCATCTTGGCCTTCAAGACGTCACCGTCACGATAGGCATTTCGATGATCGTGCAACTACTGCTGAAACCGAGCGTCACACCTTGAACTTCAAGGCAGACAGCCGAAGATGAATACCGAAAGGACGGGCATGGGATGTGAGTGTTGGCTCGCACACGAGAGGCGCTTGGGCAGTCGCAGTCAAGAGAGTGCGGATCGCTCTCCCACTTCACATTGATGGATTTCACGAGACGTGCGTGCCTGGATACTACTTATCGTGTTCATGCATCTCCGCTACATTGCGCCTTTATGATTTGACTTTCATACTTGCGATCCTTCAAGATGAAGACACCTTACACTTCCGTCAATGGAGCTCGAAAACGGGCCATACGTTAGAAAAGCCTGTGATTCGCCTCGAACCTTGGAGAATCATACTTCCATACCTCAGTCAGCGAGGGCTCTTGGTGACAAAATGAAGCGCGCATGGGAATCAAAACATAAGCATAAGATTGAAGGAAACCACCAATAGCCAAAGGGTGAGTCTGAAAGTCATTATCAGGTACCGCATTCATCTGTCATATATCAGCACCTATCAGATGACTGTCTCGGCGTATTAGGGGACTGGATATCCCACCCGATGTTCTAGCTGCCCACAGTCTATCAAACCCCCTCGTTTTATGTCCTGCAGCAACCTTCTGCCCGTCAACTTCTCTCCGTCAACAGCCCTGCGTTCAAGATCATGGTAGCAAGCAAGTTGCAGATCGCCTGTGAGACGTACAAGTCCTTGTATCCGCTGCTCCTGGGTTATGATAACTACCTACCCTTCGCAACAAGAGCCGGACCGCAGGAGAGGCCCGAACAGCGCCGGCCTCGCGTGCCGCAAGATTTGAACCTTTTCGTTTCCTATCCATCCCGATTCCCTACCTTTCAGCCCTTGCACACGAGGACGGCATTGATCGCGTGAAAAAGAAAGGAACCTGGAGTGTCACGGGCTTCCCAGGCATCCGGCCACGCCGGCTGGCAACGCCGCAACGTCACTGTCTCAAGTATTTTCAACATCTTCAAGATGAGGACTATTGAAACACCTTGCGTCAATTGCGACACTCGATGGCAAGAGTCTTGATTCAGACACGGTATCAGGGAAGCCGTCCTCGCACTAACACAAGTCGCAGCCGCCAATGATGGCAAATTAGACCATACATAGCATTCGTTCCTAAGGTACGATAATGTGCACGCGTCTCCTGCTAGAGCAGTTCTCATCGTCTCTGTTAGGTAGTTCTGCTCGAACATCGACCCACTGCCCAAATTCTACAGGCAGTACCCTGAAAGCCCACATCGTTGCGTTCTGGTGGCTGCTACAGCTTCACCCGGCACATGAGCCAGCTCGCTCCTTGTTTGGCCCCTATTAAGTACGTGCTGTTCATCTCGAATCTGCTTTCAGATCGAAACTGTGTGAGGGTCGATCTTTGAGATCCCCGCGAGGGCAGACACAGAGACCGAAGATTTACAGAAAATTTACAGGCATTTCAAAAGCCTTTGTTGAAACATAAAGCACCACGCTCAACGCATCTCTTGAGATGAATACATCATGGTAGCAGAGCTTCTCTAATTCGACAAATACATTATATCGGAACTTTGAGGCGGACCATAAGTTGCTTGAACCATGATCATAGCAAAGTATTCAGCGAACATGACTCTGAGTGCTTCGATCGCCACCAAGCGCCCAAGTGTGCCCTGTGAAGACGTGGCGCCACGCTACACAGCTGAACGACAAGGCGCTCCGCAAGATTCACGCCATTCCTCGGTGTTTGTTACGACTGAAGTGTACTACTCTCTAGCATCGTTGCATGATGCTCAGAGCCCCCGAAATTTGGTCTCCACTTTGGGGTTAATGGCCAACGCAATGATTCTTCTGGGTCCTCCCTCGACAGACTACGCGTCTCGAAAATACAGTCTTGCAGACACAACGTGATTAATCACGGCCTCAGCCACTCGGAGTAGAATCGCCTCGGTATACGGTCTGGTGATCTCGGCCATTCCCGTCGCCGGCGTCTTCGGTCAACATGCTTGGATTCTATGCAAAATGCTCATTCTTGGTCGATCATCTCGCATTACGAGAAGATCTGCTAAGTCATAGTTCTGGATTGATACCCGTACTTGCATTCTCATCGTTATTTGAGCCCATCCTTGGATCAGAGGTTTTCCATTCCGCCACCGAGATCTGACAGACTTCTTTAAGTTACGTAACTGAAGTCACAACTCAAAAAGCTGAGAAGCGAGTGAGGCGCTCATTCTCAGTGTGTATCGGCGAGAGAAAACACAGGGAGACTCCGTAAGGATAGATAGCCAACATCATTCGCTGTCCAGACGGCCAGGCTCACCCACCTAAGGCTGCCTTATGGTTGGGCTACAAGCCTGGTACTGCCACATACGACCATACCCATTGGAAAACTCGGGATCCCGTCCGCTCTCCCATAGATAAGCCAATGAGGGCTGGAGTAGTAGTCGGGTCGGTGACGACCGGCGAATGCCCGGTGTTGTATGTTTTTGCTAGATCCGCTTTTTGCCTCAGGTCAGACATCTCAGGCGCTTCAGGCGGACTGCGTGGATTGGAAGGGCGAAATCGGCAGGACTTCCTATCCGATGGAGGCGATGCTATTAGTCGCACCATCAATTGGAGAACGTGGATCTACCCCAACACATACTTTAGGCACTTTCTTTCAAAAACACTCAATCCCTCTACAGTTAAGCCCTCTGCGAGATGATTATATCTTCGGTGCGTATGCTGCAGCGCGGATGAGCTGAAACGTGGGCGGAAACACGCGCGAGGTCCTTTCGTGAGTCTAGGTCAGCGAAGACGATGGCGTTGGATTCCTGATGCAACGGCTCTGCCTATGTCAACACCCACGCCTTCGCCCACGCCATGAAATGGTCCAACCCCATAAAAACACATCGCTGCCTTTTACAAGCCTGACATCATGTATGGTTGGTTGTCTTCTCTTAAACTCATGTCGTAGCTTATTCGCGTCTTGGCGCCGTTCCTTCTACCTCAGCTGCGCTCAATCTACCCAATAGAATAATGGCAAAGCAGAGGCAGACCACTGTTATCCTCGGAGGTATAAGTTGGATTCTCCGGCCCGTTTGTAGGGGTCTTGAAGCTTGCTAGAAAGCTGTTCGTCATGGCAGCAGTCACGAGCTCCTGTGAACAACTGTCCCTCTGTCCAATGCACTAGCGCTACCAACAGAGATCTCTTGATCTTATGGTAGTACCAGCCTCAATTGTCATGGGTACTGTCACCGTCCCGTGGACAAATTTTGGCGTCAATAGGATTGACATGTTTTTGAGCATTTCCCGTGCGGTTAAGCCCTGATTTCAATTCGTATTGCAATCTATGGTCTGCCATATTTTGTGCTAAGTCGCATGACTCAGGCTGTATTTACAGAACGATGTTTGTTTTCGAAGTTCCTAACCCCAACCAAGTGCATCATACAAGTTGCATGAACTGTGCTACCACCCATTTAGGATCGCAAACTCTGTTTCCAAATTATCTAAATCCACCCGGCAAATCGACAGATCGAAACGGCTGACCTACATGCTTCAATAAAGCCACAACAAAGTCGTGAACAGTCACAAAAAAATCAGTTAAGCAAAAGACTGGGTGCTTCGTCATCTCTGGGATGCTGCACCTTGAAACTGAAAACAGCTTTGCTATTGAGCGCAAGAAGACACGTGGAAGACTCTGAATAAAGCTGGGTTCCACTGTAATGCTAGGATGACAAGCCAGTGTGATGCAGGATGTTGCCAGAAGCAATCCGCATATTTCAATACATTCCGATATCTACTGGGTTTATTTGCTCCTCATTATTTGTTTGCTGTTGCTAACTAGTGATCTATGCTGGGTTTCAGATGTTAGAAACCTTTTAACTTCTTTCTTATTCCCGTTCTCTCATTACTGATCGTAGGCTTCTCGTTTTAGACTTAATTCCATTGCGATATTAAACATGTGTTAAAACTGGCGGGCCTCTTCCATCTTTGCAGAACTGGGGACGTTCACGCAGAGTGGCTGAACGGTGCTCGCTTGAAAGAAACGCCTCCAAATACGGACTCTCTGCCCAAACGTGGACCAACCTTCAGAAATCAGACTCTACTGCATGCGGGCTATTCTCCGCTCTTCACTCATGCTACCAAGACGACCACAAATGGCTTCTGACATGTGAAGTCAATTCGGGCAATGTCGTTAGACCTTGCCAGCATGTTTGAGAAGAAACTGAGTAAGTTTGATCTAAGAGAAAATGCAATTATATTTTTGTTTCTACTCGGCAGTATTGCATATCAACTTCCCTCTCGCCTAAATTTTCTTGGCATCCACTGTTAGTGTAATACGTGGGATACCACCAAAGTTCTTAACAGCGGAAAACCCTTCAATTCTCGCCTCCAGCGCCCTCCCGCGATGGCCTCGCAGCCTCCGGCGGGCTCTGGACCGATGCCGGCCTCCTCGACCGGCCCTGATCGAGGCTCTGGAGCCCCTCTGGAGCCGTCCCCAACCTCAAGGGCTAAACGCCGCCGCGATACTGAGGCCCAGCTAGCCCGGCTCAGCCTCGTGGGAAGCCAGCCCGACGCCTCTACGACAACCCCCTTAACGGCTAAGGGGCCCTCAACTGTGAATAGGACAGCTGCTGGAGCTGTCCTTACAGCCCTTAGTGAAGAGGCTAAGCTCTATGAAGCCTGAAAGGATGTCTTTATGGCTATCGCCCAGTCTGTAGATAACGTGGTCTCTTGCTTTGAGGGGCCTAGGAAGCAGATCGCAAAGGAGTCTACAACCTACGTAGTTCAAGCCTTGAAAAGGATCATGGGGAACGGAACGGCAGCCCTGACCCCAAGCTGGAATTAGGCTAAGGTGGTAGCTTCGGCTGAATCTGCAGCTGCAGCCCCAGCCTAAGCCCCAGCCCTGGCCCCAGCCTGCACCTAAAACCTAATTCATCCCTAGGCTCAGACTCAGACTCTAGCCCAGCCAAAGAAGGACCTCTAGGTCTTTGCCTGCATCCCCGAGGAGGGCCTAACAGCTGCTAGGAAGCATGCCCCTTTTGCCCTCCGCCGGAAGGTCTGCCAGGCCCCTGGCCTGCAGCTAGCAGATATCCCACATATCTACTATATTGCAACTGGCTACTCACTGAGACCCCTGAATAAGCAGGTTCAGCAAGCCCTCCTTACGGACAAACAGAAACTAGCAGACAGTCTTAGAGCCTATAGGATTAAGACCCCTACTAAGTGGTTCACCTATGTTGTCCCACGCTGCCCTGCTAAGCTATAGACTATCGATAGGGATGCCCTCAACCTAGCTACTCTAGTTGAAGAGGAGGTCTTTGCATAGATAGGATGCAAGCCTATCTAGGCCTGCTAATCCTAACTTAGCGTGAATCCTATCACAAACGAAGTCTCTTAGATTATCTCCTTCTCTGCAGAAGTATTACCCTTCAGACTCTTCAACCAAAGCAGCAGGTCTCAGCTTATCCAGAAGAAAAAGACTATCGCCCGATATGACCCTGGTTGCTAGGGATATCACTCGAGCTGATATTGTAACCGGCAGCCACTTTGTGGCAACTGCAGCAGACCCTCAGGCTCCCACGAGACTTAGCCCTGCATAGCCAGACTGAAGTGCGCAAACTGCGCCGGCCTCTTCCAAGCCAACCATAAAGGCTGCCCGGCAAGGCCCCTAGTGGTTAACAGCTCCCCTACCCTCCTAGGTCGGAAGGAACTCTCTTAGATCTATAAGGCTGGACAGAAGGCTTATGAGGCCCTCTATCAGAACAGCCAGGCTAGCACTTAAGCTACTGATAACCACCAGCAGTCCAGCGGAGACCTAACACGCCACCAGCCCGGCTTAAAGCGACCACACGCCCCTACCCCTGCCTAGGATTTAATTACTATAGCAGACGCTAGCAATACAGCAAGCTCTAGTAGTATGGATGAGGATGAGAATGAGGCTAAGGCAGACGTCTATATCAACAACAACCCTGACCTACTACTACTACCTACCTAGTATACCCCTCCTAGGCTAAGCAGCAGGGCCCAGAGGGTAGCTCAGAAGCCTGATTATAATATGACTAATGCCTACACACACCTCAACCTCAACTCAGAGCAGTAGGCTCAGAATAGCTACCCCACAGGTATTACAGGTCGCCTAGTGTAACGTGGGGAAGAGAAGCCCAGCTTATACAGCTCTTCTAGAGCTCTGCTGGGCAGATCAGATCGATATAGTCCTGATCTAGGAACCCTGGATAGGCTATAGAGATAAGATGCAGATTAACACACACCTAGGCTTTAACTCCTACGTACCAGTTGACTTCTGGAACAGCAGAGACATAAGGCCTAGGGTTATAACCTACACACGCAAAGGTCTAAGGCTGCAAATACAGCAACAAAGGTCTACCTAATCAAGAGATATCTTATGGGTGAAAGTCAGCAACCTCACTATTATGAATATATATAGGCCGCTAGATGAGCCTATAAACTAAGCAACCAGCCTCCTTCTAGATTACCAACCGCCAGAGAGAGCCCTTATTGCTGGGGACCTTAACGCCCACCACTCCTCATAGGAACCTAGGTCCCCTAGCTGAAATCGAGGAGATAATATTGCAGAATAGGCGGAAGGCTACGATCTTCTGTTTATTAGGGAGGTTGGGGCCCCTACCTATACCCACGGGCATACCCTCAACCTAACCCTCTCAAATATCCCCTTTACTGAGGCTTATATCAGCCCACACCTACACCTAGGGGCTGACCACGAAGCCATCACAACAATTATTCCTATGAGTAGGGCCTAGGAACAGGGACGCCAGGCTAACCAGCTCTCAGTACCAGAGTCAGCCCTACCACAGCTGATCGACCTAGTAAAGGCTGGGGCTACAGCCTTACCTACTCTAGGGGAACTGCCCAGCCCAGCAGAGCTAGACACCCTAGCTGCCCAACTGGTCAGCCTCTTCTATACAGCTATTCAAGCTGTAGGCAAGAGACGGACTAATCAGGGTAGGGGAGCCCCCTGGTGGACAGAAGAATGCTCAGTAGCCCACTAAGCTGCTATTAAGGCTAGGCGCCAACAGGCCTAAGAACCTGGGCTGGTTATACCTCCCCCTATCCTAGAGGAACAAAAGGTCTTCTTAACAACCGTTAGAAGGGTAAAACGCGCCTATTAGACTACTAAGGTTAAAGAGGCTAAGACAGACTAAGATCTATATAAGATTATAGGCTGGCGGAAGTCAAGCCTAGCAGTTAAAGCTCCGCCTCTAATAGTAGAAGGAGAGACGATCAGCAACACCTACGACAAAGCCTAAGCCTTACAAAAGGCCTTACTTAAACGGTTTAGCGCTAGAGATGACCTACCTAGGAACCCTTTTGCTATCCTAGTGGTCATAAGGCGTCTTATACCCTGGCAGGATATAGTTAGTATAGAGGAAGTACGCCAGGCTACTCTAATAAAGACTATAACCCCTGGGACTGATAGGATTACTATAAAGTTACTATAATGCACCTGGGGCTTAGTAGCTAGGCCTATACAGCAGCTCTTCCAGGCCTACATATAGGTAGGCTACTTCCCTAGACCCTTCCGCAAAGCAGATGTTGTTATAATCTAGAAACCAGGGAAAACAGACTTCTCTAAGACTAGGTCCTGGCGCCTAATATCTCTATTATCCTGCTTAGGCAAAAGCTTAGAACGGTTGATAGCAAAAAGGATAGCCTACCTTACCATCCTAGAAGGGGTCGCCAGCCCACAGCAGGTTGGAGCCTTACCAGGGAGGGCTGCAGTCGACCTGACAACCTGTCTAACCTATGAGATCGAGAGGGCTCTAGATATAGGGCTTACTGCGACGCTAGCAACAATAGACGTTAAGGGGGCGTTTGATTCCATCCTATGAAACCAACTTATTATCAGGCTACAGCAGCAGGGCTAGCTAAGCAGCCTGATCAAGCTGATCTACACCTTCACCTCTAGCCGAACAGCCTAGGTCAGGCTAGAGGATACTACTACAGAGGACTTCCCTCTATCCTGTGGACTACCATAAGGCTCTCTGCTGTCACCTATCCTCTTCCTGCTCTATATAGCTGATATCCTAGCTGATAATCAGAAGCTACGGTTTAGCTATACAGATGATATAAGCTTAGTAGCTACTAGCCCCTCGCTAGAAGAGAACGCTACAGCCTTAGGCTAGGAGATCACTAGTATCCTCAGCTGGGGAACAGAAAATAAGGTCGCCTTTAACCCAGCTAAGTGTGAGGCAATCCACTTCAGCAGAAAATATAAACAGACAACAAACCTACCTGATATCTAAGCGAGAGGCCTGACTATTAAAGCCTCAACAAAGCCTATAAGATAGTTAGGGGTCTAGTTTGACAAGAGACTCACCTTCTAACACCATATAGGAATAAAGGTAGCAGCAGCAAAGAAGGTAGCCTATTTCCTACAGCACCTTACAAACACAAAAGGGGGGCTCCCAGCAGCTGCAGTCTGAAAAGCAGCTATTGCTTGCGCCCTCCCGATAGCCTTATATGGAGCGGAAACCTAGTATGCAGGCCTGACTAAGCCAGCTCTAAGCAGCAACAATAGTACTAGTAGCAGTACTGCTTCACAGATAGCTACAGTTGGCATAGGGCAGAAGTGTCTAGCCTGTAGAGTCGGAAGAGTTATTACAGCAGCAGCAAGGGCTATCCTACCTGTCTGGAGGACCACACCAACCAGTGCCCTCATCCGAGATGCTGGCCTACCTACAGCAGAGGTAGCTCTCGAGGCAGCGCGACTACGCTTCGCTACACGCCTACAGAAGGTTGACCAACAACATCCCTTGGTCCTAAGGCTTCTACAGCCAGGGCGGCAGCAGACCAGGCTCCAAAGGACAGCTGGCCTCTTACCTAAGTGCCTAAGGCCAGCACTTCTACAGCCGCAATACCTCCTAGGGTCCTATAACCTTATAGTTACACAGACGAAGGAAGTAGCAGCCAGGATCTTCCAGGCCTAGCTTAAGACGGTGATAAAAGAGCATACTATTATCTACTCAGATAGCTCTAAAGCCCCTGATAGCGCTATAGGATTTAGCTTTATTATCTACCGCAAGAATAAACGCATAGCTTAGGGCTGCAGATGCCTCAGCATAGCAGAAGTATTTGATGGCGAGGCCGAAGGGGCGAGGGCAGGGCTCTAACAGGCCCTCCTTACCTCCTAAGGCCAGCCTATACATATCTGTATCAATAATACCAGCGTTATCCAGGGGATCTGAGGCATGGCCCTAGACTCCTCACAAGCTGCCTTCCTTGAGATCCAAGAGGCAGTTAGGATATATATCATATAAACCCACTGGTCCCCAGGGTACCAGGGCATCAAAGGAAACGAGGAAGCAGACATCCTAGCTAAGGAGGGCACAACCCTACCAGCCCCTAGGGTCTAACTAGCTATCCTATCAGGGATCAAACGGCTTGCTAGAGAGCGTATATACCGCCAGCATAGAAGATAGTGGAAGCAAGAGGCAACATCCTGCTACACCCAACTAGGGCTAAAGGCTTCCCTCGCCTGCCCTCCTGAACTGACCCTGCTATAGGCGATCCTTCACCATCTCCTGGCAGCCCGTTCAGGGCATAGAGACTTTAAGCAATATCACTAACGCTTCAACCATACAGAAGCACTACTTACCTGCTCCTGCGGGGAGGCAAAGGCAGTAGACCACCTAGTCTACTGCCGAAAGACCTTAGTGAGGCGGCTTCAGTGGCCCACCCTCCACCCTTCTAGTTCACAGGAGCCTATAGGGCCTATAGGATCTCTTGAGCAGTACTATAAGGGGCTAATTACTGATCATGAAGGCTTCCAGGCCTTTCTCTCCGTGACAGACTTCTTCCAGAAGATCTGCCCGCGGTACTAGGGACTAGGTCTTAACCTAGACCTTAGTAACAACCCCCTCCTCGTAGAGGATCGGAAGACCACAACGGAACTAGGGAACCAGCAGGAACTAGGGACGAATAGAACACATAGTAGCCCACGGGCAAGATTTAGAGGACGTTAGGAAGAGGCGTGTACTGTAGAGTATATTGCTTGAGCCGGCGACCCTCCACGCCATATACCCCTCGGGAGGTCGGCCGCAAGGGCGGCTGCGCCCTTGCCGCCACGGCGTTAAATATAACAACAACAACAACAGTATTGAATATTTGTCACGAACCTATCCTACCATTATCGCCTTCCTAATTTTCTGCGTTCAACTTTCAGCTTTCTGTGACGACACTGCACGTCTTTTCTGTGGACGATGAATCATACCCTCGCCGTTCACCATC